GGCCACTACAACATCAGTCAGTACTTGTAACCAAGCCTAAGCCTGGCCACTACAACATCAGTCAGTACTTGTAACCAAGCCTAAGCCTGGCCACTACAACATCAGTCAGTACTTGTAACCAAGCCTAAGTCTGGCCACTACAACATCAGTCAGTACTTGTAACCAAGCGTAAGCCTGGCCACTACAACATCAGTCAGTACTTGTAACCAAGCCTAAGCCTGGCCACTACATCAGTCAGTACTTGTAACCAAGAATAAGCCTGGCCACTACAACATCAGTCAGTACTTATAACCAAGCCTAAGCCTGGCCACTACAACATCAGTCAGTACTTGTAACCAAGCCTAAGCCTGGCCACTACAACATCAGTCAGTACTTGTTACCAAGCCTAAGCCTGGCCACTACAACATCAGTCAGTACTTGTAACCAAGCCTAAGCCTGGCCACTACAACATCAGTCAGTACTTGTAACCAAGCCTAAGCCTGGCCACTACAACATCAGTCAGTACTTGTAACCAAGCCTAAGCCTGGCCACTACAACATCAGTCAGTACTTGTAACCAAGCCTAAGCCTGGCCACTACAACATCAGTCAGTACTTGTAACCAAGCCTAAGCCTGGCCACTACAACATCAGTCAGTACTTGTAACCAAGCCTAAGCCTGGCCACTACAACATCAGTCAGTACTTGTAACCAAGCCTAAGCCTGGCCACTACATCAGTCAGTACTTGTAACCAAGCCTAAGCCTGGCCACTACAACATCAGTCAGTACTTGTAACCAAGCCTAAGCCTGGCCACTACAACATCAGTCAGTACTTGTAACCAAGCCTAAGCCTGGCCACTACAACATCAGTCAGTACTTGTAACCAAGCCTAAGCCTGGCCACTACATCAGTCAGTACTTGTAACCAAGCCTAAGCCTGGCCACTACAACATCAGTCAGTCTGTTCACATTGCAAGTTGCTCCATAAACATACTTATCTACGTTCATGTTATCATAGTGGGTTATAGATCTACTCAGGCTTCTAACTGCATTCCTATAACAATCATTTTCATTATTTACTTCTCTCCTAATATTATTCCTAATGCTAGACACAGTTATACCAAAGTTATATTCTACATTCTCCTTCTGGGTACTCTTCTTGGCTAACATATCAACTTTATCATGAAGGAGTAATCCAATGTGTGATGGGATCCACAGCAATTGTACATTAATTCTTTTGTCCCGGATTTTTGAGTATCTATACCTGGCTTCCCCAATGAGCATGTTGTTGGAGTCATTATATAAGTCAAGAGCCTTCAGTGATGACATAGAATCAGTAATGATGACAGAGTCAAGCTCAGTGTCATAGGTTAGCTTTAGCGCCATTAGGATTGCAAACGGTTCAATTTGCAATGTAGGCGCCCAGTTGTTAATTCTTATGCCTAGTTCAACAAGTTTATTATCGTTCTTAACTAGGGAGGTGGCAACAAGAGCAGATGCAGCCCTGCCAGAAGACTCCTGTTTTGATCCATCAGTGTATATAACTTGTGATAACTTATTACTACCGGCTAGGTGAGAAATTTCTTCTTGAGCAGTTGCTCTAACAAGTGATTTAAGGAAGGGATTACTAGCAATGAGCTTCTTGGGAGGGACTTGTAGGTATGTGATATTAAATGAACACATCTTCCATGGAGGGTGAAATGCTCTTGTTGCCTACAGTGATACAGTTCATGCAGGTTATAAAACAATGCAATTGCACGTTTTCACAATCCATTTAGATCTGTGTGTATTTACCTCTAGACACTGGGTAAGATTCATTGTGACAGTGTCTGGTTCCTTTCTTAACATTCTAATACCGAGTACAGTGTTAATCTCAACAATAACTCGTAATGCAAAGGCATTACGAACAGTCTTCTTGGATCTTGAAAAGGCGTATGGCACTACTTGGAGATATAACATTTTGTCCCAAGCTCATCACTTAGGTCTCCGAGGTAATATGTCACTTTTCCTTAAAAACTTCTTATCTAGGAAAGATTTCCTTGTTTGGGTTAATAATTCGTTTTCTCAGGCCTTTGTTCAAGCTGAAGTTCCTCACGGATGTATATTTAGCACCATTATTTGTCTACTAGCTATAAATAATCTGGCCTCTGTTCTCCCATTTAATATTTGATTATCACTCTATGTTGATGACTTCGGTGTAGCATGTGCAGGCGCTGACTGTCGCCTAGTAGCAACCTCCAAAACACTGTCAGCCGTGTTTCCCACTAGGCCACTATGCATTTGTTTAAATTTCCTGGTGCTAAAGCACACCAAATTACTTTCACCAGACGCTCTGTTGTTTCTCATACTTCATTGTACATGTATGGCTCACATATCCCTGAACGACACGATCAACTTTCTGGGCCTCCTGTTTAATCGCCGGCTGTCTTGGAAACCTCACAGTACCTCACTGAAAGCAACTTGCCATAGCCAGCTGAACCTCCTTAAAACCCTCGCTCATCTTTCATGGGGGTTCGGATCGTTGAACTCTTCTTCGACTGCATTCAGCCCTAATTTTGTCAAAACTGGAATATGGAGACCAGATATATTTTGCAGTCTCTCCCGCAACTCTTCCTAAACTTGATCCCATCCATCATCAGGGATTACATTTATGTTTAAATGCTTTTCGTTCCTCTCCTGTTGAGAGCCTCTGTGCAGAGGAGAATATTCCAGCCTTGAACGATCACTGTGATGCCCATTGCCTCCGTTAATGTCTCCACTCTCATGACCTTCACAATCCTTCATACAGGACAGTAATGGACGTTAGTAAAGGTCCTTCATTTGTTCGCCGCCCTTATTTACTCCGTTCCATTTCTCTTCATCTTCACTCGCTCTTGACTCCTCTTTAATTGCTCCTTTTATAAGTTCATCTAGCATCTAACTTTTATCTTCAGTCTTGGGAAGTTCCAACATTTCGTGTCTGTTCTTCCTCACTGCACTGCACTAAAGCTCAAATACCTACAGTTGCTTCTTGTTCCCTTTTTCTTAACCACTCCCGGCCTTATTCTTATGCCGTTGCAGTGTACGCTGATGGTTCTAAATCCTCTGATGGTGCCGGGTTTGCAGCAGTGTTTCCGGATAGCATAGTCTGAGGGAATTTAGAATTTTTACAGTTGAACTGTATGCATTTCTCGTAGCAATTACCCGTGTTGTGTCCCGGTCTACCTCAACATTTGTGGTAGTCTCAGACTCTTTCAGTGTTTTGCAATCAAAGAATTTAATTCACCTCATCTCCTAGTTCTTCATGTGCAACTTTGGTTGTGACTCATTTCTAGCAAAAACAAAGAAATCGTTTTTTGCTGGGTGCCTGGTCATATTGATGTTCAGGGCAATGGGTAGGCAGACTCTGCTGCGCAGTCTTGTAGTAGGTTCGCCGGTCTTGTCCCGGCCCGGGTCTTTTCCAGATGATGACCCGGCGCGGTCACCAGAACATGACCTCCCTGTTTCATGTAGAGGTATACCATACTCAGACTATTTTTCTTTAATCTCTAGCCACCTTCGCAACCGTTGGCAACACCGTCGATCTGAGTCGATTCATAAGAAATTACATACTATCAAGCCGAGTTTAGGATCCCGGTCTTCTTATCATCGATTCCGAGGTTGGGAGACTATGCTCTCCCGTCCTCACATCGGGTACACACGTCTTACCTACGGGTATCTCATAGAGACAGGCCCAGTTCCACTCCGTGAGAATTGTCAGGTTCCGATATCAGTTTGACATATTCTATTGTACTGTCCTGTCTATCAACAAGTACGCAGAATTTACCTCCGACGTCGTCACCGCTCTAACACCCTTACTTTATCTTCCCTCCTCGCTGACGGCCCCAACTTTGACACAGACTCCCTCTTTAACTTTTAGATAGCAACAGATTTATTACCCAAACTTTGATTATACTTTCTTTAACACTCCTCACAGCCCTTACAAACTCTACCTCTGTTATACTCCTCACCCTTGATAGTCTCAGATCAAGATATAACCATGCCACTTAGCATACCTACCCCTGCAGCGCTGTATGGCCCTTGTGGGTCTAGTGTTTAGCTTTGATAATAATAATAATAATAATAATAATAATAATAATAATAATAATAATAATAATAATAATAATAATAATAATAATAATAATAATAATAATAATGTCGGTTCTATGAACATTTGTTGAGTTGAACTTGATAATTTACATATATTGTTACGTAAGAAAATTGCAATATAAACTTATATATAAAACCTGATTAAAATAAACTTAGCTTAAAAGGCAGCAAGGTAACACTGACTTGCTTTACCAGCTGGTGTAGAAGGCAGCACACTAACCTGTCTTATCTGCTGTTTTAGCAGCTGGTGTAGAAGGCAGCACACTAACCTGTCTTATCTGCTGTGTTAGCAGCTGGTGTAGAAGGCAGCACACTACCCTAGTCCTTATCTGCTGTGTTAGCAGCTGGTGTAGAAGCATATCACTACCACTGTCTTATCTCTGTGTTAGCATTGGTGTAGAAGGCAGCTCACATAACCCTGTCTTAATCTGCGTGTTAAGCAGCTGGTGTAGAAGGCAGCACACTAACCTGTCTTATCTGCTGTTTTAGCAGCTTGTTAGAAGGCAGCTCACTAACCTGTCATATCTCTGATGTTAGCAGCTGGTGTAAGAAGGCAGCACACTAAACCTGTCTTATCTGCTGTTTTAGCAGCTGGTGTAGAAGGCAGCTCACTACCCTGTCTTATCTGCTGTGTTAGCAGCTGGTGTAGAAGGCAGCTCACTACCCTGTCTTATCTGCTGTGTTAGCAGCTGGTGTAGAAGGCAGCTCACTACCCTGTCTTATCTGCTGTGTTAGCAGCTGGTGTAGAAGGCAGCTCACTACCCTGTCTTATCTACTGTGCTACCAGCTGGTGTAGAAGGCAGCTCACTAACCTGTGCTACTAGAGGGCGTAGAAGGCAGCAGAGTAACACTATCTTGTTTTGCCAGCTGGTGTAGAAGGCAGGTGGCTCACTAACCTGTCTTATCTGCTGTGTTACCAGCTGGTCCTGAGTGTGTAGCAGGGGAGAGAGGATGGCAGCCACACCTACGGGACTGAAGAGCATATTAGCGTTGGGATGAGTTGACTGGTTGACTAGAGCACCATATAGGTCCAGGGTGAAGCGGAAATGAGCTTGGTAGAACCTCTGCCCACTGCTGACTGGCCCAGCTGCCCTACCTGCTCGGTGGGTCCAGGGAATGGCAGGAGTGGGCAGCAGTGTCACCACCAGTAGACACAACACACGCCAGGTCATCGTCACCCACCTCCCACCACCACCCTGTAATACACTGTAACACAGTCTACACTGTAACACAGTCTTCACTGTAACATAACCTTCATTGTAACATATATAGACAAGAATGAATTTATAAATAATTTTCTAAATAACCACCTGGTGGTTCACAATTACACTCACTCACCCACTGACTATAAACCCAGAAATACTAATCTTAATCTTAAAATAATAAATCCTAACTAGTCATAAGTTTGCCTATGTTACTCAAATACAGACACCTTGTTATTGTGCCAAAACAAAAGCATTCACATTGCTAAACTCACAAATTATGATGTAGTCACTTAGCCTTAATACTATAATCTGTAAGGATTTAATATGCCTGAGCTTGCTACCATCTGCAGCTCATAAGACTGCCATCCCCACGAGCCCCTTTGAGGCGGGGTAGATGGCAGACCAGAGGCCTAGCTTCTCCCTACGAGCCCCGTGAGGGCGGGGAATGTGGCTAGGCCTGGGGACACTTGGTCCCAAAGATGAGGAGGTACTTGTACCTCCTCCCATGGGAGACTTAAGTCTCGAGACACTCCCCAGATAGGGAGCCAAGGCCGGGTCACCACTACTTGGAAAAGACCCGGGCCGGGAGAGTACCGGCGAAAAAAAAAAAAAAAAGGATTTAATGTTAAGAATTAATCTAAGTCTGCTGGAAATGCCTAGCCATGCTAGGTGTCCTAGTGGCCCCCTCTGTAATTAGTATTTTATAACATGTAAACCACAGAATACCCAAAACATGTAAACCCCACATTGTAACCCTTATAGAGAATAAACTTGAATTGAATTGAAAAAGCCCATGACCTCTATAAGAGACATTGCCCCAAAAAACAAAACAGATCACAGCAAAGAGACTGAATAATCCCTGGCTAACACCAAGCATCCTCAAATCCATTAACAAAAGCACCAATGTGAAAAACAGTATAGAATGGGCCAAGTAACTAGAGAACAGTCTAAACGTTACTCGTCAGCACTTACCAGCCTCATAAGAAGGTCTAAAAATTGTATTACGAAAATAGATCACATAACATCAAAGGTGATATGAAAAAAACCTGGAAAACTCTATCAAAAATTCTTCGAAACTAAAAAGATTTCCAAAAACAAAACAATCAAATTAACAAAATTAGATGAGCCCCAACTCACACCAACCGAAACATCAAACAGACTCAATGTTTTCTTCTCCACCATAGGAAAGAATCTAGCAAGCAAAATCCCAGACTTAAAGACATGTCCATCAGACTACCTCATGGGCACCTACCCGCATACACTATTCCTAGCTGCAACCAACCCACCAGAAGTCTCGCTCATCATCAACAACCTTAAAAACAAGGCAGGAGACATAAACAACTTGCCAACTTTTATGTACAAAAAAGCTCCTCAAGTATTGTCACCAATTATTGCAACACTCTTTAACAAATCCATTACCTGGAGACCTGGAGTTTACCTGGAGAGAGTTCCGGGGGTCAACGCCCCCGCGGCCCGGTCTGTGACCAGGCCTTCATTGAATTATCTACCTTCCCAATAATCCTCAAAATAGCGAGGGTCACTCCGATCCACAAATGAGGTGTCCAAGATGACTTGAATAACTATACACCAATATCTAACTTACCACTGCTCTCTAAAATCTTTGAAAAATTAATTCATAGACGGATCTATTCCTACCTCGTCTCACACAACATATTAAACCCTTGTCATTTTGGATTCAGGAATAATTAAAGCACAAATGATGCTATCATACACATGCTAGAACTAATATATACCGCACTCGAAAAGAAAGAAGTCCCGCTGGGAATTTTCATTGATTTACGTAAACCTTTTGATACAGTCGACCATGAACTGCTGTACTCCAAATTAACGCACTATGGTATCAGAGGCCACTCCCTCAACTACCTAAAGTCATACCTTAGTAACAGAACTCAATATGTGTATGCAAATGATGCAAACTCTTCCACCCAACCAATCACAGTAGGAGTCCCACAAGGAAGCGTCCTTGGACCACTCCTCTTTCTCATCTACATCAATGATCTACCAAACGCATCACAGCTACTCAAACCCATATTATTTGCAGATGACACTACATACGTCTTTTCCCACCCAAACACAGTCATACTAGCAAACACAGTCAATGCCGAATTGCAGAAAATATCTGCCTGGATGATGACTAATAAACTAACACTGAATACTGACAAAACCTACTTCATTCAGTCTGGAAACAAAGCTGCAAATGTTTCACTTAACATAACGCTAAACGGATCACCCGTCACAATACTCACGGAGGGAAAATTCCTAGGAATCTGTGGAAAATTTTTTGATTTTCCGAAGCTATAGCGCCTAATAGGTGTTTAATGTGTCGATATGAGTCAAAAATGTATTTGACAATAGGACAGAACCAAGAGCTCCCTTTGCGCATGCACGGATGTGCGGGGGTAGAGGTCGACTCGGGGCATGGGGGAGGCGGCAGTTTTTTGAATGTAGTGAGGAGGCTGGGAAAGCATGGAACCAGGAAATTGGCGTTCACGGCGGCCTAAGGATTAATATAGGCCTCATTTCATAATAGGAAGTGTCGTAACTGTTCCTGGTGGAGAGTGAGGGAACGTGATTTACGGGACCACAGTAATAAAGTGGTAAAATGAGTGAATAAGGGTAGGACCGGGTGACTGGCGCGTCACCATGGACTGTGTCCCGGGGAAAATTACCCTTGGTTTAATCATCACTCATCGGTCTCAGATCTTAATGGAGTGATCTCTAATGTGTATAATAATTATGAGACATTAAATCGTCTTGTGAATTGTAATGTAATTAATGATAATAACACTAAGTTAAGAGAATGCGTGAAGTGAAATAAGTCGCCTTGCTCCGAGTGAACACGTTAGACCTCGTTCCCGGGACGAGGAAAGTGAAGTTCATTGAGTCACGACTTCTAAACCGGGACAAACCAACGGATACCTCGTCCTGCTGGAATAAGAACCGTGTCGGTGTAGCAGGACATCGAAATGAGATGGTGAATGGAGGAAATAAGGAGTATCAATCACCCACAGTTAAGTAACCCTTCTAGTTATAGCAGACTGATACTGGCCAGTTAGGTATGTTGTAATTGGATAGGTTATGAGTGATCCAGCTACATCAAGTGACCACCAGAGAATATCTGGTAAGTGGAGAGATTATGTACAAGTGTTTTTCCTTGATGGATATATCCATGTGTAACCTACCCCCCCCCCCCCTTCATTCAGTTACACTAATATAATCTATACAGTCCACAATTAATTAGTAGCACCGTACTTGTGGGTGCTATCCAATCCATACTGGTCTCGGATAGATATGGATAAGATTGTGAGGTCGAAGGGACCACCTGCCGTGACCAGGGGTGGTTAAGTTTTCTCACATGTCTACACGGGGTGACTACGGTAAACAATATGGTTGCCTCCCAATGAGATTACTTGTATGTATATAATGTTGAGGTACATACAGGTAATCACCCCTAGAAAATTTTCCACAGAATCCATCTTGACAGTCGTCTTAAGTTCCAGACTCATATACAACAAATAACCAAGAAAATCTCTAAGACAGTAGGCATACTATCAAAGATACGATACTATGCTCCACAATTAGCTCTCCTTGCACTGTATTATTCACTCATATACCCTTATCTCACATATGGAATTTGTGCATGGGGATCAACAACATTAAATCACCTAAGACCACTAATAACCCAGCAAAAGGCAGCAGTCAGAATGATAACAAATTCCCACTCCCGACAGCATACTCCATCAATATTCAAAAGACTAAATCTGCTCACCATTAAGAGCATCCATACTTATTCATGTGCCTACTACATACATAGAACAATACACACAAATATAAACCCTCCACTCAAACTTCTCACCAACCTAAACAGGACACATGACCACAACACAAGACACAGATATCTTAATGATATAATTCGTATCCATATAACACTATGTAAAAACTCTATGCTCATAAAGGGCCCCAAAATATGGAATTCGTTACCAGAAAATACCAAAGTAACCAGGTCTGAAATTCAATTTAAGACTCTTCTCAGAAGCCACTTAATCACCCAAGACTAAATACACAATACTCAATATTTAACATTATCAATAAATCTACCAATTATCTAAATCTTAAAACTTCATGACTAGACAACCAAGCTCATATATTGACAAACTACCACATAGAAGTATACATACCTACCAAAACCTGTACTACCCTTCACCAAATAGTAGCAGTCTCATACTGTAAACTACTGTAAACTACTGTAAACTACTGTAAACTACTGCAAACTACTGTAAACTAAAACTACTTAAACTACTGTAAACTACTGAAAACTACTGTAAACTACTGTAACAAACTACTGTAAACTACTGTAAACTACTGTAAACTAAACTACTGTAAACTACTGTAAACTACTGAAAACTACTGTAAACTACTGTAAACTACTGTAAACTACTGCAAACTACTGTAAACTACTGTAAACTACTGTAAACTACTGAAAACTACTGTAAACTACTGTAAATACTACTGTAAACTACTGAAAACTACTGTAAACTACTGTAAACTACTGTAAACTACTGTAAACTACTGAAAACTACTGTAAACTACTGTAAACTACTGTAAACTACAGTAAACTACTGTAAACTACTGTAAACTACTGAGAACTACTGTAAACTACTGTAAACTACTGTAAACTACTGTAAACTACTGAGAACTACTGTAAACTACTGTAAACTACTGTAAACTACTGTAAACTACTGAGAACTACTGTAAACTACTGAGAACTACTGTAAACTACTGTAAACTACTGTAAACTACTGAGAACTACTGTAAACTACTGTAAACTACAGTAAACTACTGTAAACTACTGTAAACTACTGGAAAATACTGAGAACTACTGTAAACTACTGTAAACTACTGTAAACTACTGTAAACTACTGAGAACTACTGTAAACTACTGAGAACTACTGTAAACTACT